TCTTGCAGTGCCATAAAACCTTTTAGAGGTAGGTCCCAGACCTGGCTACGCAGCCTGGCAGAAGGTGGCTAATTCACTGGTTGAACAAGATTGTAAAAACCCTTTTGGAAGGCAAAACTATGTATTTGGCTGTTTGCTTTGGAGTTCAGTTTTAACAATCTTTTCTTCTGTTTTCCCTTTTGTCTGATTCCTCGAGTCTTTGCTATTTTGCTGCCTTGTGTTCTTTGCAGACTTAGTCTACCTTCCTGTCCTGGTCTTCAAACCCCTTAGCCAACGTCTGTTCACTTCTCCTGTTTCAGAAACCTGACTTTATTCTCCTGACTATTTTGCCTGCTATCATGTCCTATCCAAAATTGCCTCACCTGATATCCTGACTTTAGGAGACATTTCATTACGCTGGCGTTTGATTTTCTTTTCTTTTACATGCTAATCATGGCTTTATATTCCTCCACTCCGACCTGAATTCTCTACCCTGACTTGACTTTGCCCTCTTCTCTTCTTTTCTATGCTGACCTGGCTTCTCCCCTCCTTTTTTTTGTCCCTTCTAACCTAACTCCTCCTCCCCTCTTCTCCCTAACTGGACTCCTCCCCTCTTCTCCCTAACCGGACTCCTCCCCTCTTCTCCCTAACCGGACTCCTCCCCTCTTCTCCCTAACCGGACTCCTCCCCTCTTCTCCCTAACCGGACTCCTCCCCTCTTCTCCCTAACCGGACTCCTCCCCTCTTCTCCCTAACCGGACTCCTCCCCTCTTCTCCCTAACCGGACACCTCCCCTCTTCTCCCTAACCGGACACCTCCCCTCTTCTCCCTAACCGGACACCTCCCCCTCTCTCCCTAACCGGATTCCTCCCCTCTTCTCCTCTAACCGGACTCCTCCTCTTCTCCCTCTCCCTCTCCTCCAACCTGTCCCCTCTTCTCCCTCTCTCCTCCAACCTGGCTCCTTTCTCTTCTAACCTCTCTCCTCCCCTGGCTCCTCATTTTCCCTTCTGGCTCCTCCAACCTGGCTCCTCTTCTTCTCCCTCTCTCCTCCAACCTGTCTCCTCTTCTCCCTCTCTCCTCCAACCTGCTCCTCCTCTTCTCCCTCTCTCCTCCAACCTGGCTCTCCTCTTCTCCCTCTCTCCTCCAACCTGGCTCCTCCTCTTCTCCCTCTCCTCCAACCTGGCTCCTCCTCTTCTCCCTCTCTCCTCCAACCTGGCTCCTCCTCTTCTCCCTCTCTCCTCCAACCTGGCTCCTCCTCTTCTCCCTCTCTCCTCCAACCTGGCTCCTCCTCTTCTCCCTCACTCCTCCAACCTGGCTCCTCCTCTTCTCTCCTCACTCCTCCAACCTGGCTCCTCCTCTTCTCCCTCACTCCTCCAACCTGGCTCCTCCTCTTCTCCCTCACTCCCCAACCTGGCTCCTCCTCTTCTCCCTCTCTCTCCCTAACCTGGCTCCTCCTCTTCTCCTCTCTCTCCCCAACCTGGCTCCTCCTCTTCTCTCCTTTTCCCCTTTATCCTGCACTTTCCCTTCTCCCCTGTTTTGCATTAAAAAGTGGAAAGAATGTAAGCCTATTAAATCCTTTGGAACTCTTCACACTGAACAGTTGCGGGGACATTGCGTTTTTCAAAGTCCTGCTTGCTGTATTTTTAGTGCGGTAAAAACTGCACTAAAAATGCACTTCTCATTAAAATAAATAGAGAACACATCAAAAACACACCCACTATTGAAATGAATGAAAAAAACACTTGCTGTTGTGTTTTTGATGCATTTGTGAGCCATGTGTCAGGTGAAAAACGCACTGTAGACGTGGCAGAAATGCACTTGCGTTTTTGTTCTGTTTTTTTTCAACTGAGCAGTGTGAAATCCTAACACAGCTCCCCTCTAACCCGGCTCCTTTCCTTCTCTTCTTCCCTCTAACACAGCTTCTTCTCTTCTTCTTCCCTCTAACACAGCTTCTTCTCTCATTTCCTCTCCTCTTGCTCCTTCACTTCTCTTCTTTTTCCTTCTAACTGGCTCCTTCCATGCTCCTCTTCTCCCCCCTAACCTTGATCCTTCTCTTCTTTTCTTCTTCTCCTCCTCTTCTATTCCCCTTCCTCATCCCCTTCCTCTTCTTTTCCTCTCCTCTTTCCCCTCCTCTTCCCCTTCTCTTCCTCTCCTCTTCCTCTCCTCTTCCTCTCCTCTTCCCCTTCTCTTCCTCTCCTCTTCCTTCCTCTTCCCCTCCTCTCCCCTCCTCTTCCTCTCCTCTTCCTTCCTCTTCCTCTTCCTCTCCTCTCCCCTTCCTCTCCTCTTCCCTTCCTCTCCTCTTCCTCCCCTTCTCTCCCTTCCTCTTCCTCTTCCCCTTCTCTTCCTCTTCCCCCTCTTCCTCTTCCTCTTCCCCTTCCTCTTCTCTTCCCCTTCCCCTCTTCTCTTCCCCTTCCTCTTCTCTTCCCCTTCAACTTCTCTTCCCCTTCACTTCTCTTCCCCTTCAACTTCTCTTCCCCTTCACTTCTCTTCCCCTTCCACTTCTCTTTCCCTTCCACTTCTCTTCCCCTTCAACTTCTCTTCCCCTTACCCTTCCTCTCCCTTTCATCTCCTCTCAATCTAATGTCCCTCTCCCTCTCATCTCCTATCAGTCTTCTCTTCTCCTCCCCTCTAGCCTGGCTCCTTCTTTTCCTCTTCACTCTGGCCTGGCTTCTCCCTTCTTTTTCTCGCTGTAACCTGGATTCTCTCCTCCTCTTTTATTCATTTACCTTCTAACCTGGCTTTTTCTCTCCTCCTCAAGCTGGCTTTTCCCTTCCTCCTTTTTTCACCATAACCTGGCTTTTCCCCAACTCGTTCTTCCCTCCCCAATCTACCGTTTGTCCTTTTCTCCACTCTGACTTGACTTTTATCCTCCTCACTATAACCCAGGTCCTGTTCTTCTCCTGACTAGACTGTTATGCATTCTTTGCTGTCAGTTTGTGTCCTGCACCTTTCACATTTATTTTCCCTTTCATCCTTCACCTTGTTGATGTTCTGGACCTTAAGTGTCTCCATTTCAGGCTCAAAAAGAAAACTCACTTTTCCAAACACAAAATTCCTCATGTACATTCAGCTGTAGCTGTGTCACGGCCATGTTCTGGCTGCATCCAACTATTCTGGTATCCTTTCATGTTCCCATTTTTTTTAGTATATTGTATAGAAATAAACCTCCATATACATTGTGTTTTACATTCTGTGTAGCTGACCTGTAATATGAGGTTTTAGTTGGGGCACTACGGTGTCTTGGAACCATGAATGGTGTTTTGGTGAAGGGAGGTGAACACTGGTGTGTGCTGCTGGTAAGGGAAGAGCATGGGCATGTTGGGGGAGGGAGAAGAGTATGGTTAAAGGATAAGTTCACCTTTTGTAGAAAACAAAATAAAAAAGGAATAATTATAATAAATGCACATCTTTACAGGTTAAAAGGTGCATTTATGTTTACATTGCACCCGTGATCAGCAGATTGCATGTGCAACACGTGGATCCTGCAGACATTCAGTAAGCTGCCTACCCGTACCTCCAATATGGGCAGGTAGTTAGTGAATGGCTGGAAGAATCAATGGACGATGAGGACGCTCACCAGCACCCTTGCAGTTTATTGAGAACTACAACCCAGTCAGCCACAGAGGCCCACGGTACTTTTAGTCTCATTCATTCACAGGAAACTGCGCTGTTTTCAAATTGTGACAGCGGGTGCGGGGATCACAAAGCAGGGAGTGCTGGCAGCGGGAAGTGGGTTCTTAGCAGGGCCGTAGATAAGGGGCTACAGCCAGACCCTCCTGTACAAGGCCCAGGCCAGCAGGGGGCTCCAGATAGCTGTATATGAAGAAACAAAAAGAGGGCGCACAGAAAGGCTGTCTCTGAGGAAGAGGCACAGCCTCGAAACGCGTCAGCCAACAGCCACCTAAAGGTCTACAGTCCCCCACCAGACATCCTTCAGAGTGATTGGACCACACTGCATTTCTTGTGACATGCCCTTCATTTGATTTTATTCCTTTTTGTGAGTATTTTACTTTTTATCAATAAATCTTGTTTTTAACCACAAGCCTACAGGGCACTTCTACCCCCTTCCTGCCCACAGGGCACTTCTACCCCCTTTACCGGGCACTTTCTACCCCCTTCCTGCCCACAGGACACTTCTACCCCCTTACTGCCTTACCGGGCACTTCTACCCCTTCCTGCCTACAGGGCACTTCTACCCCCTTCCTGCCCACAGGACACTTCTACCCCCTTCCTGCCCACAGGGCACTTCTACCCCCTTCCTGCCTACCGGGCACTTCTACCCCCTTCCTGCCTACGGGACACTTCTACCCCCTTCCTGCCCACCGGGCACTTCTACCCCCTTCCTGCCCTACAGGGCACTTCTACCCCCTTCCTGCCTACAGGGCACTTCTACCCCCTTCCTGCCTACAGGGCACTTCTACCCCCTTCCTGCCTACAGGGCACTTCTACCCCCTTCCTGCCTACAGGGCACTTCTACCCCCTTCCTGCCTACAGGGCACTTCTGCCCCCTTCCTGCCCACAGGGCACTTCTGCCCCCTTCCTGCCTACAGGACACTTCTGCCCCCTTCCTGCCCACAGGACACTTCTGCCCCCTTCCTGCCCACAGGACACTTCTGCCCCCTTCCTGCCCACAGGACACTTCTGCCCCCTTCCTGCCCACGGGCACTTCTGCCCCCTTCCTGCCCACGGGACACTTCTGCCCCCTTCCTGCCCACCGGGCACTTCTGCCCCCTTCCTGCCCACCGGGCACTTCTGCCCCCTTCCCGCCTACAGGGCACTTCTGCCCCCTTCCTGCCACAGGGCACTTCTGCCCCCTTCCCGCCTACAGGGCACTTCTGCCCCCTTCCCGCCTACCGGGCACTTCCGCCCCCTTCCCGCCTACCGGGCACTTCTACCCCCTTCCTGCCCAGGCCAGCTTTCAGTGCTGTCACACTTTGAATGACAATTGCGCGGTCATGCAACACTGTACCAATATGACATTTTTATCATTTTTTTTGTGCCAAAGCTTTATTTTGGTGGTTTTTAATCACCTCTGGGTTTTGTTTTTTTTTTTCTTAAACCAAAAACCACTGAAAATTTTGAAAAAAAAGTTTTTTCTTAGTTTTTGTTATACAATTTTGTAAATAAGTGATTTTTCTCCTTCACTGATGTGCGTTAATGAGGCTGCAGTGATGGGCACTGATAGGCTGCACTGATGGACACTGATAGGTGGCACTGGTAGGTGGCACTGAAAGGCAGCACTGATAGGCGGCACTGATAGGTGGCATTGATGGGTGATACTGAAAGGCAGCTCAGATGGGCACTGATATGTGGCACTGATGAGCACTGGCATGTGGCACTGATGAGCACTGACAGCTGGCACTGGTGGACACTGACAGGTGGCATTGCTGGGGCTACACTGATCATCAGGGCACACTGAACATCAGTGCCCTGATGATCAGTGTAGATGTCCCCTCCGAGGAATGCTGATTACCGGCTCTCCTCTCCTCTGTCAGCGTGACAGCTCGAGAGGAGAGAAATCCCGATAACCGGCATTTCCCTGTTTACATGCGATCAGCTGTGATTGGACACAGCTTATCACATGACCGAGCCGACATCTTTGGCTCTTTCCGTGGATCGGTGATCTGCTGTGTCCAGGGGACACAGCGCACCGCTGATCGCCGTGCTCCAGGAGCTGCGCATACGCGGTTAGAATGGGAGGATGTGATATGACGTCCTCCCAGAACGAGAGAACCGCCTTGCGTCCGTTATATTACTATATGGCGGGCGGGAGGGAGGTGGTTAAAGGTAATGCACTAGGCCCATGCGCCCTCTTTTTTGTTTCTTCATATACAGTTCTTTTTGGATTTCCCTGGTCCGTTGAGGGCAGCAAAGCTTGCATTCCTTCTATACTCCATGTGGGGATACAGACATTGTGGAGTCCACGGTACAACGTGGGAGCTCAGGCATTCGGGTGCTTTTTTTTTCTTCCTATCAGGCTCCAGATAGCTGGGTGAATCAGACGTGGGCAGGGAGGGTGATTTGCATGACGGGGGGGGGGGCAATTACTGGATCCAATCCCCTGTATGACTCTCTGCAGCAGCTGAAAACTGTTTTCTTCTCCTCTCCCTCCTGATGGTTTCATATAGAGTCATAGAGAGTCATACAGAAATCAGTTTATTTTTCCCCTTGTGGGTTTTGCCGGTTTTCCTCCTCTCCTTCTCACTGGAAGCTGCAAGCACACAATAGGATCCTGCCTTTCCTGAATGAACACAATGAGTGATCGGTACTGATCAGTCACTGTGTTCATCCATAACTGGGTTTTTGTTTTTTTTTAGGGGGGGGCTGTTAGGTTGGCTGTATGGGATCCTGTGGTTTCCAACAGCAGCCCTGGGCACTAGGAGCATGTTACAAGTTACACCCTAAATATGGGTATAATATGCTCCTAACAATGAACTTAGGCTGTAAAAGGGTAATATAAGGCTTTTTTTTTTGCTGCCAAACCCTGACCAACTTATACTCACATTTGCAGCGCTCTCCTGTTGCATCATCAGAGTCATAGTAGGTGCTTCCGAGTTTGGGGAAATCTGACCTTTATCTATTTGAGGAGACCCTGTTGCCAGACCATTCATAACAACCCTTGTATAGGAGTACACTCACCGGCCACTTTATTAGGTCCACCTTGCTAGTCCCGGGTTGGACCCCTTTTTGCCTTCAGAACTGACTTAATGCTTCATGGCGTAGATTCAACAAGGTGTTGGAAACATTACTCCATATTGACATGAGTTGCTGTTGCCTTTCTATCATCCCGAACCAGTCTGCCCATTCTCCTCTGCGACCAACAAGGCATTTTCCTCCACACAACTGCCGCTCACTGGATATTTTCTCTTTTTCGGACCATTCTCTGTAAACCCTAGAGATGGTTGTGCGTGAAAATCCCAGGAGATCAGCAGTTTTTGAAATACTCAGACCAGCCCGTCTGGCACCAACAACCATGCCAAGTCACTGAAATTCCCTTCCCCATTCTGATGCTCGGTTTGAACTTCAACAAGTCATCTTCCCACGTCTAGATGCCTAAATGCATTGAGTTGCTGCCATGTGATTGGCTGATTAGCAATTTGTGTTTTCAAGCAATTGTACAGGCGGACCTAATAAAGTGGCCGGTGAGTGTATTTGTTCATTTTGTGTATTTTATTATTATTACAGGTACCTGTATAGCGCCTTCAATTTATGCAGCACTTTACATATACAAGCGGGTAAAATAAGTATCTAACGTGTTGCCATTTTACTCAGTAAATACATTTCTAAAAGTGATATTGACATGAAATTTTCACCACGTCTGTAACAACCCATCCAATCCATACATACAAAGAAACTAAAACAAATACGTTCAGAAATTAAGTTGTGTGTAATAAAATGTGATGGCTCAGGGAAAATGTATTGAACACACGAAGAAAGGGAGGCTCAAAAAGGCATGGAAAACCAAGACACCAGCTGAAATCTATCAGCTACTTTAGTCTCAACCAGGGGCAGACTGACAACTCATGGGGTCCCCGGGCAATAGGGGATCATGGGCCCCTGTGTCTTGCCCAAACTCAAAAAGCCTATGAAAAAGGTACCAGGGGCATCTCAAGGGGCCCCCTACTGACCCCGGGCCCTCGGGCAGTGCCTGAGTTTCCAAATGATCAGTCCGCCCCTGGTCTCAACGGATGGCCTATAAAAAGGTATCTCATTACCAAGGTATCACACAAGAAACATCTCATGATGTGTAAAAGCAAAAAGCTCTCTCAAGACCTTCGTAACCTTATTGCTGAAAAACATACTGATGGCATTGCTTACAGAAGGATTTTTAAATTTCTGTATGTTCCAGTGAGCACTGTTGGGGCCATAATCTGAAAGTGGAAAGAACATGATTTCACCATAAACCAGCCACGACCAGGTGCTCCTCGCAGGATTTCTTACAGTGGAGTAAAAAGTATGATCAGAAGAGTTGTCCAAGAGCCATTGACCACTTGTGAAGAGATTCAGAAAGACCTGGAATTAGCGTTTACAATTGTTTTAAAGAAAAACAATAAGTAACGCACTCAAACCGCCATGGCCTGTATGCGAGTTGACCCACGCACTCCATTGCTAAAGAAAAAGCATGTTGAAGCTCGTTTAAAGTTTGTTGTACAACATTCAGACAAGCCTGTGAAATACTAGGAGAATATAGTCTGGTTAGATGAGACCAAAATGGAACTCTTTGGATGCCATAATACACACCATGTTTGGAGGTCACACTGCACATCACCCTAAAAACACCATACCAACCGTGAAGCATGGAGGTGGGAACATCATGATGTGGGGCTGTTTTTCAGCATACAGTACTGGAAAACTTGGTATCATTGAACAAAGGATGGATGGAAAAATGTACCAAGATATTCTTGATAACAATCTGCTGCCATCTACCAGGAGGATGAAGATGAAACGAGGGCGGACATTTCAGCAAGATAATCCCAAGCACAAAGCCAAGGAAACTCTCCATTGGTTTCAAAGAAAGAAAATAGAGCTGCTAGAATGGCCCAGCCAATAAACTGACTTGAATCCAATAGAAAATCTATGGAAAGATCTAAAGATCAGAGTTCATAGAAGGGACCCACGGAATCTTCAGGATTTGAAGACTGTGGAAGAATGGGCCAAAATCCCACCTGAGCGATGCATGCTATGAGTTTCTCCATACAGGAGGCGTCTTGAAGCCGTCATTACCAACAAAGGATTTTGTAGCAAGTATTAAATAAATTTCAGTTAGTGTGTTCAATACTTTTTTGTTCCCATTTTTACACATAACTTAATTTCTGAACTTATTTCTTTTGGTTTCTTTGTATGTATGGATTGTTACCGACAATTTCATGTCAATAGCACCTTTAGAAATATATTTACTGAGAAAAATGGTGACGTGTTCAATACTTCTTTTACCCGATGTATATCTTCTACATTCACATCAGTCCCTAACCCTCAAGGGGCGTACAATCTAAGGTCCCTAACCCTCAAGGGGCGTACAATCTAAGGTCCCTAACCCTCAAGGGGCGTACAATCTAAGGTCCCTAACTCACATTCATACATACACATACTAGGGACAATTTAGACAGGAGCCAATTCACCTACCTGGAGGAAACCTATGCAGGCAAAAGGGAGAACATGCAGACTCCAGGTAGGTACTGCTGTGGTTGGGATTTTAGGTGTCTTATTTACCTGTAAAACCCTTCCTTGTGTAGACATCCCAAGACCACTGATGAGTGCCACCATCTTGGATGTGATGTCAGCAGACACAGAGCCGTGGTTCAATTGTCAGTCTGCGGCAGAGGTACTAATAAACACACGCCATCTAGTGACAGTGAATGACACCACATCCCAATGTATCTGACAAATTTGTATGCCCAAGAGATGACAGAAAAAAAAAATACGTTGGACGTTGTGTTTTCTTTTAAAAAAAATTGTACAGACTTCATATAAAACCCACAAAAAAAAGTGTCAATCCAAAACAAAAATGTAATTTAAAATAATTTGTTCATAAAATCATGTCAAGTACATCTTATTCTCACCCTGTGTTGGCCAATCCACAGGCCCATTTACACTTGTGCAGGTGGACCCGCAGACAAAATAATGGGACCCATGGGCCGGTGCCAATAATCGTAACACACAATACCCGCGCTAAAATTGCATCCACACTGGGACCTGCACTGTAGCGCGGTTCCCATGCGCAGGCCGCCATGGAAGGGTGCAGGGACCTTTTCCCTGCGTTTTGCGATGCACGGCAGCCCATTCAAATGAATAGACTGCTGTGCCCGCGCAAAACGGCATGCACAGCACGCAAAGGTGTGAACCAGGCCTTAATGCATTCTCAGGATGAAGGTAAAAAAACCTGTGTGAAGTGGCCCCACCTCATACTTACCAGATCCTGATCCTGATCCAGCGCTGTGCCAAAAAGCAGCGGCTCTCTATGCTCTTTCCCTCCTCATTGGCTCTCACTGCTGTCAATCACAGCCAGTGAGGTGGGAGTGAGGCTAAGCTGCACTCTACTGTGTGGCTTGGAAGCAAGTCTGCATGAGTGCCCCCATAGCAAGGGACTTCCTACGGAGGCAGTCGGCAAAGGGGGAGGAGCCAAGAGTGCCAGTGGGGGACCCCAGAAGAGGACTGGGGCTGCTCTGTGCAAAACCATTACACAGAGCAAATAACTAGAACGTTTATTTATTTATTTTTTTTTTTAAATACAACTTTTAGATTTACAATCACTTTAGCCCCTCGCCCTCCAGAGGAGTTCTTCCCCTTCCTGACCAGGCCATTTTTTGCGTTACAGCGCTGTGTTACTTTAACTGACAATTGCGCGGTCATGCAAC